ATACTACCAAGGACAATAGAAATTGAAAAAAAAATAATTACTTACTGTTCCCCAATTTAATTTTAAATTGTATACTTCTCTGAGCTTCCTACTTAATCATAATTTAAAAGATACTTTTGTGAATGTCTAGAATATACAAACCAGAATATTCAGATATGAAAAAACTATGTGGCTAGCCCAAGAACACTGACATAAACTCATGACTCTCAGTATTTCTTTGCATAGTTGTTAAACTGTATTTCTTACATATATCAAACAGCAATGTGAAACATGAAAAAGCAAGTTAGAAAATACCAATATCCCATTTCATAATTTTTTTCTACTTTGCAAAGAATTCTGAAAGCTTGCTTAACTATGATATAAAAACTACATGACATCTGATTTCAATACAAATTTGTGTCAGTGGCTACCACATCAAATACATTTGAATACACTAATACATTTGAAGGTTATTCAGCGTTTTACACTGGTGAACTCTCAGAAGTTAGTTCTAAGGCAAGCAATCACTCTTAGCTCTTGTCTTAGGAGTAAAGATTTCAAACTGTGGGAAATTTACAAGCTCTAGAAGTTTGTATCTTATAATCCTATATTACCAAGTGGATTCTAAAGAACTTGATTGCTTGACTTCAGGTTTAGCTTCTAAATTACTAAGTGTGAACTCAAAAGCCTATGTATGTGAAAAGGTTTGTTTCTGAATTTTTACACACCAAAACATACATTAACATACGCACTTCAGTGAATTCAAGGCATCGAAACATTAGGATTAGGAATTATTATTGTAGGAAACATTATTGCAGGAAATGAATTTTTTAACATACTGGATGAAATAATGAAAATACATTGCTAAACAGAACTTCAGACTCTAAGGATAGGTTCTGTAACAAGACTTATTCATACTGACTTTTCATTAGTCAATTAATTTCCCTTGGTACATGCTGACTAATATGGTTGTTAGTCCTTACCAGTAATAAATACAGCTTCAAGTTCAAAATAAAGGGTGGCTTTAATGAAAGTGTTACACTTTCTCCCAGTGAAAAGAATAATCTACTCTAAAAAATACTACTTAAGTGATACAAAATTGGGAAGAACAGGAACAGAATTATGAACATTAGTTAGTATTTTAGGAGAAAGATGTTTCTGGATTTACCAAGGATTTCCAGTAGAAAGAAAAAGAAGAAAATACAATAGGAAAAGACTTCAAATTCTAATTTAGGGCTTTTTCAAGTATAAACCAGTGACATTAAAGTCCTTTAAGTGACACTCTCTAGCACTCAAAGAGTTTGATTTTTTTTTTAAATTAGGTAATAAAAAGCAAAGATATCAACACACAGATAAAGAGCCCTTACTTGGTTTTAGAATATTCCTTATATTTGTAAAGTGTAACAACAAATTAAATCCCTCTTCAGTCTGCCTTCCTTGATCAATGCTAAATTTAAAAAATAGAAGTAATTTTCCCTTTTCAAATGCACCATCTGATTTCATAGGCACAATGAATTTTCAAGAAGCAGTAAAAAGACTTGAAAAATAACCTTCCATCAACTATTTTAATCATACTCATAAGTATCTCAATATTTATTACCTGACAGACAGTGTAAGATAAGAGTATGTTCAATTGGTATAAAATATCAATCAAGTAAAACTTGTCACACATCATCTGAATAAAATTTGTAACTGGATAAGTTTTTAGTGTCATTTTCTTGAAATCCTCTTCCAGAATAATGTATTCCTATTCGTGTGGTTGAGAAAAGAGAGTTTTATTTTTTCTTCATGCATTGCTTGCACTACAAGTTTCATCAATAAAACACAAAGAATCTATATTCTTTAGTGGGCTACAATTTCTTTCAATTATCCTGAAAAAAAACCTCTGTACACAACCAGATTTTTTTGTAAATTTGTGTATTTTACCAAAATACAGCCTTACAGAAGACTGTGAAGACATTCAGTGTCCCATCAAACTCGATGCATGAGCAACATCTTTGGATAAATGCAATTCAAAGTTATTACATCAAAGAAAATGAATAGCTGGCATAAAGAAAGGGCTACATTGGTGGATGTGTACCACAGAGGGGAAAAGCATCAAGAACAAAATCACTCTTTAATGTTCAGTGGTCATCAAAGAAACAAAGCAGACACTAGAATGTATAAAAAGTGAACTAACAATAATAGTATTATTGTATTATTCCAACAAAGTAAAATATAATTAAAAGAAAAGCGACTGTTTAAAAACAGATTTAGGAAGTAGCATGAGAAAAATTACAAAACAATCTGAATACAGAAAAGATAAATAGGGACCTTCATGAGCCTCATCTTATTGTCTCATAAGCCAAGAACAAAGATGGAATTTATGAAAAGTAAAGGCAAAATTAAATTTTCTGAAAATGAAAGAAACAAGGTAGATTTAATTTGTGAAACTCCCTGTCACAGTACAAGATGCAAAGTATTTGGGAAAATACGCAAAAGAAACCCATCTCAAACTATATACACATACATTCCATATCTATCTATCTATCTATCTATCCATCTATCTATCTATATTTGCATTATTCATACACTATATGTAAAAAATTTAACTAGTCTGGGTTGGAAAGATATTGCCCCTGTTGAAAATCAGTACTACCAGTTGTGAGCTTTATTTCTTCACTGGAGTAACTAGCACTGGCGGCTGTCACAGACAAGACATGGTACGAGTGACTACTGAAAATCTAGTTTTTCAAGACAAAGGAGGTAAAAATGAAACTATTTTTCTGTACATCTTATGCAGCCAACCCCTTGATTAAATTGTGATTTTGAACTCATATTTATCTGTATGGCAATTATTCATGTGAAGAATTTACTTGTAGACCACCTAATTAATATAGCTGGGAAGTAAAAGATAACATACAAAATGCAGAAACAGTAGTTTAGGGAGTAAATATGGAATTTACTACACATTCAGAAAAATACTGTGTGTTTTTCTATACCTTCAGTGTACTGACTTTTTCTACAGAGACAGTGTATGCTAGAACTTACTCTGATCAAATTATATACATATGCAGAAATGCACTTGGAAAAAAACCCAAAACCCTCTCTGTTATTCTCTTGGAAAGAAAAGATATTTTCTTTACTTTTTAAAATCCAGCAAGAAATCTCAGCAACAGAATGGTGAGTAGCTGGGTTGTGAGAATGTGAGCAGCTGCTGTTATTATAACTAAAGGTCTGTCTACGGCTTGAGCCTGAGAGACCACATGTTCGGCTGTCCTCTCATCTTGCCATCCTCACCAATTAACTATTAACATGGAGGGCTGTACACATGCTCTCAGGGGCTCTTTAACAGGCTTCTTGGAGAGTGCAACAACTACACAGCAGGGCTCTGGGAACTGAGTAATGTGGGGTATAAGGAACCCTCAGCAGCTTTGCTCCTCCTAATGACAGTTTTTTCCATAGTTTAGTGCATAAAGAAGGATACATGAAGTTTAACAATTTCAGAAAAATTAAATGCTCTAATTTGTTCAAGGCTGCTAAGCAAAGATTCTGGGAATAATGTTTCTTTTTTGGTTTTTATTCAGAATAGTCTAGCACTTACTGTAAAACAATCCTGTGAAAATTAAAAAATCAGCAACTTAAAAAATCGGATGTAATATCAATCTTAACTCCATAGGAATCAATTTATATGGAATTAAAATCACAAACCCAAAAGTAGCTTCCAGGTAGGTTTGCAACATACAAAAACTTTTGTCCTTCACTTTGTTTCTTAGAGATTCTTCTGGACTTCTCTAAAACATCATCATACCTTTTATTTACATAACTTATAAAAAAAGAGTACAATGAAACTGATTGTACATGCCAATTATGGGCAGGTAATTCCAACATGTAAAAAGAAGAGTGCTAGTTTTACATTCACAAATTCGATTCGTTACATTAAATTTTACTGTCAATCTTTTTGAAGGCAAACTGCCATCTAATCTTTAAAAATAGCTGAGTAAGGAGATGGAGGTTTGCACTGCAAGAGGATTATTCATACACTTTTGATTGCAGTGGTAAAATTAGAAAATCAAGTTTCTATATTTTCGAAGAAGTAAGTGCACCAGGTATCCAGATAAATAAAATGTGCTGGTATTCAAACACCTTCACAAAATGCAATATACATAAGTAAGTGCCATGTACTTTCATAAGACAGGATTTAATCTAATGATAAATTCATCTACTACGAAAATGCTTTGAGTAATATGAGGTTTTATCCAGTATTTTACTGTAGTGAAATCAAATTAGTATGTAAAATTACAGGTTCTCTGGTCATTGTGAATAATAATTTTACTCTTGTAAGTTACATTATCACTTGTCGTTAAAAAAAAGAACACAAAAACCCCCTAAAACCTTATCAACATTTTTCCTTTTAGTAAAACCATTTATTTCCAGAAGATGCATTAAGTGTCCATATACTCTCAGGATTGGTGCTATTAGCAGCTCCTGATTTTGCAGTTGGGAAAATTATTCTGATAACGTAACTGGTGCCAGTAAAACGGGGTATTAGAATTAAAGAGGAAACCTACATCTTTCAATTCCTGGCTTTAAAAACAAGATTGCACATCATCATAATGAGCATGACAAATGAATAGACTGGACTGAAAATGTCTTGTATTGAAACTCTAAACAGTGTCCTTAAGGCAGTGGAAAAGTGTGTAGGGGAGTTGTAAAAAGAAAAGAATAAAACTAAAAGAGATTACCAGGATTCTCTTCGCTTTTCTACAGTTTCTGAAATTCTGCTCGTTTTTTAGAAAATGACTAAGACCCACAGAAGGCATAACTATCTAAGATGGTTTTATGCTTAGGTCTTTATAGATGTTGCAGCATGCTGTCCCACAGAAGTATATAAACACTACAGTGAAGTCATATTTTAACAGCCCTTTGAACAAAAAGAGTTTTCCAGATGTTCAAAATTGCACTTATTTTCTTACCATAAACTTCCCATTCTTGCTGGCTGATGTGTCAGCTATGAAATAGAGCAAAGAGAGCATTCTTACCTCGATAAGGTGAGCGGGTATTGTGATGACACAGGCTGACAAAGATTTTCTGAGGAGGCCACGGAGAACATACAGGAATTTTGTAAGGCTATGAATATCTTCAGGAGTATCACTGCAACAAATGTCGTCACCCCACAACAAAGAGCCCAGGCTCTGAATTCCTATCCGCAAAATAGTCTTTTTTTTCTTCTATTGGTGAAAAGAAAAAAAAAAGGAAGCCGTTTGTGATTTTTTTACACATTAAAAGGAAAATGTCATGTAATGTATTTAAAAATTACAATGTATAGAATTCATATCCATAATAACTACATAGTTTCTGAGCTTAATCTCAGATGGTCTTATAAAAATTACAAATGGAATGGCATTTTATTCACTGACTGGATATCATATTATGCCAGATAAGCAAGTACAAGTGTAAGAGTCAGAAATACCAAACCACTAATCAGTAGTAATTTGTTTATGCAAAATAAATGTCATCTTTCATGATGACAAATCTCATTTCTGCTTATTTGATGTGACCTTTCCTGGTGATCTTTGAGAAGGATTTTAGGTGTATTTGCTACCAAAAGCTGAGACAGACAATAAGCACCCTTGTTGAAAGACTTCCTGTACAATATATCAAAGATACATTTCTAGAGTTCAGGCTTTGTAATTAAAGGCTTTTTTAAACTTTTTAATATACATACACACACACATGCACACACACATATATATATAAATACTAGTTATGGTAAATAAAAGCTTCAAGGTACTTTTCATTACAGTGAAGTCCTTTCATAAATTGTAGATATTTATCTCCACCAGCTGGAATGAACAGTCACTTTCAAGCACAAAACATTGCACAGCTGCTCTGGACATCCAGAGGAAAGATTTGGACAAGAGAAGAAGCTACTCTTACAAATACTTCCTTCTCCATATTGGGTAGACAGAGCCCGAGTTGTGAAACACAGTTAGTATCACATGGCTCTGCATTCATGCCACTCTTGTGGCTGACACAGTGAGCTAATCTGCCAATTCGCTCACAAAATTCGTGAAAGCAATATAAGTTTTAACTCTGGTGGACTCTTTAGTCTTGGGCTTTGCAGGCTTTTAGGCTTTACTTAGTTAAAGTTAACTTTTTACACTAACATATGAAGATCAGAAAAACAGCACAGGATAATATGACACAATCTGACTTCTCTGTATGGTATTTGTTAGGCTTGGATGTTCAGAGTTGTCAAAAGAAGAGGAAAAATAGAAACTAGTCCAAAATTCTTTAGTGACTCCTAATCAGAGCAGATTCACACATTTCTTGATGTGCATTTAAGCCATAGTACAATATCAGGCATTTAAGAAAACTACTTTATTCAGATATAATTGATATTGGCCATGCAGAGAAAGTGTTCTGGGATTTCAGAATTTCAGAGCACACATACATAAATCTTACAGAAACTTTTTTTTAATGAGAAAAACATTTTTTCTTAAGAACATGAGTAAGAACAACATCCAAACAAAGTATCGGTTCTCTTACTGGACAAAGGATGAGAGATACTTGTTTCACAATATTAAATCATAAGAGTTGTAAAAGATATAGCTATTCAAACACTAGGTAATATCAGATGTATTTATTTTGGCCAGTAACAGAATTTCTACTGGTATAATTGTAAGGCCTAATGGCTTTTTCCATAACTGAAATATAAGAAAAGCCCAAGTCTAATATTCTATAACAACAAGCCTGCAGTGAAGAGTAGGATAACATTTTTTTTCAGATGTACCACTAGATCTTTTATACTGCCATTAGCTTGGAAGTTTGGGTTTTTTGGTTTGTTTGGGTTTTTTTTTTACCTTTTATGTAATTTTTGTAAGAATGTTTGCTTTGGCAGCAAGAATTCTGATTATGGAGAACTAAAAGCCCCAACTCCAAGTGAACAAAAACCCAATCTCCTCCCAGCTTTATCACCCAGAGCCACCTAACTTGAGCTCCAAAGCATACCAAAGAAATGTTAAATCACCTATGAAAGTTCTGTTGTCAAACATGAAAACCCCAAAATATTCTCAAACAAACAAGTGCTCTCCTGTATGACTTCAAAGTGTGCTCAATTTCTAAAGAATTCGTACTCAATGATCAGCAGCAAAGAGTTACTAGGAGCTTTTAGAAAGGATGTAAAACTGATGCTCATACTTCTAGGTTAGAGGTCATTCAAACCACACATTTCCAGATAGATCTTGGCTGTCAGTGTGAACAAACAAGTCAGTGATTTGGTCAACTTCAACCAAACTTTTCTGCAGCCGAATACCTGTAACAGGAATTATTGTCCTCAGAGTCACGCAGGATAGTTAAAAAATATAAATCTATGATGGCAAACAGCAGACAGTTGTATAAAACTAACTTTAACTCATATTGCTAGGTCCCAGAGATGCCTATTTTATCAGAGGTCTACTAAGACTCTAACAGTCAGTCTTCACTGATTTTCCTAATTGTGTCAAATCTCTGAGAACTGGGGTGAGTCACATTCTGCTCACTTTTCCTCAGGCCCCTCTCCAAGTACTGGTCAAAAGGAGTAGCAAGTCTATGTATCATAGGCCTACTGGAGTGAAAGTAGCCAAAAATACCTGAAAATTTTACCAGTCAGGTTAAACTTTTCATATGAATCCTGATCCAACATGTAACACATTTCTAGACCTCCACAGGCTAGAGATTTCAGAAGGATTACACTTCACAATAAAATGAAGCTTCAATGGCACCAGCTTTTGTCATTCATAGACAGTGATGAATGGATCTACTTAAAGCCAGTAAGTAAATCTCTTGAAAATTCAGTACCTTCTGCTACATATTGGCCCTCACAGTTTTCTCTGAACTTCATGAAAGCCACTGCCAGCAGGACCCACCCAAAAAGGAGATCACTGTTTGGGGTAGGGGGAAGAGCATATATGAACAAACTTCTCAGAAGGTGGGACAGGACTCAGGCCCAGCAGAGTATAGGCTGGTCCTTACTCTACAATCTGCCTATCTGGCTACTTAAAAAGTACTTCTGAATGCTCCGTAGGTAATAGAGAGGTGAATTTCTCATAGATTTGGAAGATAAAAAGATCCAAAGTGTGTTCTGGGCATAACAACATTTAACTCTGGATGTATTTTTAAGAAGTATTTTATACTGCTTCTAAATGTACAAAATTTAAGTGTACACAGAAAGACGACACATGGGGAAAAGAGGAATCTTAAAAGAAAGTAACAGAAACCACTCCTGGAAATCACATGCATTATCTCTCTCTTGAAACAGAAACAACTAGGTGTGTGCTAGTGGTTTTCTAGATGGATAAACTGGCCTGAAAAGGGACTCCTTTTCTACCTTTTAAAACTACACCTTAGAATCTTATATACTTCATTTAGTGAACATATACTTTTAAATTCATCTGTGCTAAAAGTTCTGGTTTTGCTTTATTGACACTAGTAAGACATTTTTAAACACTGAATAACAGCTACAGAAAATAGCTATCCAGGATGTTTAATGTTTCCCTGCTTGCAAGCAAAAAAAACCCCAAAAATAATGGCTCTGACCAACTTTCATTTTCTTTTACTTGTAAAAAAAATTAAGGACTAGACAAAGAAAAACAAGAAACACTAGCTTAATCTCTTCAGTATGTGGTGGTTTGTTGGCTGAAGGCTGGCAGGGTGTTTGTTTCACTCAGTACTGCTCTTTGCAGCTATCAGGCTACCCCAGGACCTGACACTGCGCAGGAGAAGCATCTCTGTGTGCAGAGCTGTATGGTGGGATGACATGCCTGTTGCCATGGCTACCACAGTGCAGGGGGAGAGGTGTCTGTCAGGGACCAATTTACTTCTCCAGACTGGCACTGCCACCAAAGAGAATCTCTCTCATAAAGCTCAGCAGAGACTAAACACTGAGCACCAACAACCTAAATTTACAAGGAAGTGTTCTGTGCAGGTAATGTTTCTAAAACACTGTTAGACACAAAAACATCCATTCCAACATCATCTTCCCCACAAAAATTATTTCTAAGATATTCAACAGTAGTGCACAGTGAAGGCCTCCAGCATCTATACTACCTAACTTCTATTGCAGTAACATCACTCTTGTAGAATAAAGACAATTACCTATCAATTAATCACCAACATATGTAACTCCTTTTTTTATTTCCATCAACTCCAAAGAACTCACGTTACTGAATATGACAAAGAATAATAGATAGGGCACTGCTCAAATCAGAAAAGGGCTTTCAGCCTATGTTGCTACATTCAAAATGCTTTTGATTACCCACAGTATGATTTATGAAGAGTACAAACATCTTTAGAAGTATGGTAAGCTGTTTTGATTTGTAAGTTGAAATAGCATTTTTATTTCTTTACTTGTGTTTCAACGCTTGCTACATAAAGATGCACACCATTTAATTCATTAAAATATTCACTCCACTCCAGTTAAAACAACATTGAAAAAATCGGAAAGTTTAAGATTAAATGTTCAATCTCAATAGTCTCGAACATATTATTGTTAAAGCAATAGTCTTAAAAAAAATACTGCAGGGGAAAATGTGTTTTGCTTAATTACATTATACTTGGCAATCCATTTCATAGCTAATTGCACAGAATATGCGTTTTACTAATGTTAACTTACAGTTCTTCCTCGCATGGTCTCGCATCTGTAACAGGTAACAACTGCAAAAGCATATTAAAACATGAACCACGCACTCTATTTACTTTGGTTCTTTACTCTAGCAATGCTTAGAAACAGCTTATTCTTTGTTGTTTTGTCCAAGACCTTCTTGTGCTCCCCTTGAAAATTCAGAAAACTACATTAGTTACAGGATTACAGAAGAGTACAAGGGCCTTCAGTACCTGGGGATCAGAGCCATCAAACCCTTCCTGGTAAATGATCCTCTGAATGGATAGAAGCAGCCTTCCATACGCACTGTTCATATTACTGTTGGTAAGGAGAAATAGTTTAGTAACACATTTTAATATTTTCCTATATGTCTCTAACAGCTGCATTAAAAATAAATATAAGCAGATGCAGCTTTCAGGCTGAAAGTGTAATATAGAAAAAGAATGTCACAGAATAAAAACCCTAAACCTCTTAGAATAAAGTTGACATTATAAGCAGTTGTGATTGTTTCATGACAAGTAGTTCAGTGTTCAGACATTTAGTGAAAACTAAAATCTCCAGGGATTAAGATAACTTAATTATATCAGGCTTATTTCCATTCAGAAGATTATAATGATTTAATGTATCAACTTAAAGCCGAAAGCATCACAGCACAGCACTAATCTATAACTGACAAAGACCTACCCTACTGTTATTCCAGGTATACCTAACCAATGCCCTGATGAACAGCTGACTATTACTGAAAAATTTCATGCACACTACTGCTACAACAATCAAGATCAACAACAACAGCAAAAAAATAGACAACACTTTCCAAATTAAAAAGTTCATGCAGTTAATTTGTTTTATTAAGAGAGTAAGACATTTTGCTATGGTTCCATTTTGTATCCACACACTACAGGTGTTATCACTGCTTTATTTGCATGAATTGTGAGGTAGAATTTATTTTATGTATTATTTAGAAAATACAGCATAAATAAACCAAACCAGTAGCTAAAAATGGGTTCAAGCAGACTTAAAACCAAATAAAAGTTCAGCAAATCGCCTTGTCAAGGTCTTAGAAGGTCCAGTTCCTGCACGTCCAAAGCACATTTTTAGGCATCCATCCCAGCCATGCTCTCCAGTCCACAGGCTGATACATACAAAGGACAGGAAGTTCTAATCTTCACTTTAGAAAAGGAAGCCAGTTTATTTTTAAAAGAGACATACTATTTTGTTAAATACCATAGAGTGTACTGGCTGGTGTGTCTGGACTTGATGCAGGTTCCTCACTGCAGCTTGAGAGTTTAAGCCCGTCTATCTTTCCTAGCATCACCATTTCCTTCTAGTCTCATTCATTCCCACTGACGGCTGAAGACTCAAACCTTCTTCTGTGCTTCTTGGGAAATACAACAAGTTATTTTGAAACTTTTGCCACTAAAAATACTCTTACTTGCTCCAAATCATTTTATACGTCTGGTCTGACAACAGACTAGGTTGGAAGAGACCTTGAAAGATCACTATGTCCAAACATCAATGAAACTATTCCTGCTACTTTAGTAAGAGCCAAAAATGTTATTCAAATTTATTTTACTAATGAACACCTACTTCTTTCCTACTTTTGCACAGGAGAGAAGACAGCTTTTCTGAGAAGCACTTCAGAGTTGCAAACATCTGACTTTTACACCATAGCTTTAACTCAGAATTCTACATTTCCTTCAAGTAGCCACTCAAACTCAAGTTATAAATATTTACAATCAAATAAGCCATACAGCCTTAATAAATCCAAGTTCTGATATACTCAATGTTATAAAACATTAAGAGATTTCCCTTCTCAAATATAAACAAAAGGGAGAATCTCCAAATTAAACTCCATCTGTTTTCAGACTTAGCAGCCTATAAGGTTACTGGTTAAACTCTTGTACCTTAATAATTTAACTTTCTGTGAAATTCACAGCTGAAAATAACTGGTAATACATAATCTCAACATGACATTTAACATGTGAAGTCTGCCTTGCTAGACAAAAAAGCATCTCAAAGAGGAAAGAAGGAGTAAATCTTTCCTTATAAAGTCAACTACTTTCGTATTGTTTAGTTGCAAAAGGAATGGCTTCTAAATGATACACCTCTACGGTCTCGCAGGTGTTACTTGACAGGGTTGGTGGAGGCAAAGAGGGCTTTAGCCTCCAAGCTAGCCAAAATGTCTTCTCTCTCCATGTCTTCGCACTATTGCAACAAACACACAATCCTTGTTGCTTATGCAGTGCTGTGATTTCTTCCTGCTTTTGCCAGAGTTGGAGAGAATCTGCAGCACTTCACAATAACCAGAATTTGTGTACCCTTTGAGATATTCCTTTATCCTTTTGGAAAAGATAGAAGCTGCTGCTCACCACCATTCGGAAGGAGTCTACAACTATCTTTTAGCCACAGCCAGGAACACAGTATTTGTAATATGAAAAGATGACTGTGGTCTTTGTCACCACAAACTACCATTTTCAACTTTGTGTATCTACCACTTCTTTTGCTTATGAGTATTACCATGCAATCTATAGAGATGCCAGAGAATATACTGTAATCACAATACTTTTAAATTCCTGATAAGTTACTAACCTGCTTTTAAAAGTTAACGGATAAAAGAATAAAATACCAGAATTAAAGGGTCCCAAAATAAAAACAAACTCCATCCTTGTCAGCATTCAAGGCCAGGTTGGACAGAGCCTTGGGTGACACGGTCTAGTGTGAGGCGTCCCTGCCCATGGCACAGGGGGTGGAACTAGATGATCTTAAGGTCCTTTCTAACTGAAACCATTCTATGATTCTGTCTTCAATTAATCCATCAAAAAAAGATATGCAGCAAAGAAAGAATTAAAGAAAATAATGTAATGAATATAGAAATTTTTAAAATGTATAAGTAGGTGCTCTTCTACTTCTTGCTAAAGTTATAATGTTTTACTTGAATTTGAAGCATGCAATGTAAATGAGGACATGATAAATATTTTGGTAACACTATTTATAAAAACAAGTTCCATTACCCTTCTGGCAGTGTTTGTCATAATATTTAGGGAAGGAAATATTTGTTATTTTCTAATTTCTAGTCTTTTTTTGTCTTTGTTACTAAACACCATTTAATTCTGATAATGAATTGAAACAATTCCTTCTTTACTCTTTTTTTTTTCTTTTTTTTTTTGTTTAGCAATTTAGTAATGGATAAAGCAGGAGCTGCAAGAAGGTATCCCGGTTACAACACAGCCTCTGTCTTCTCTGTTGATAGTTTCTAAGCAGTTAGCAAAGGTTAGGTTATCAAGGGTATGACAAATAGCCTTATTATGTATAAGGAGACCCCATTAAGCAAGACAGCTAAACCTGTTCTATCTAAACTTATCAGTAAATCTAGACTCTAGATAAATCTATTTTCAAAAGCACATAATTCTTAGAGTAAAATTTAGGAGTATTATTGAAAAACTGTCGCTTAATTATTTTAGTTCCCTTGATTATCAAACTTTTCTTTTGGTAATTGCAACTGAACAATGAGGATAGAAGCAGAGCGGTAGAAAGGAAGCCTTTCCTGCGATGCACAGAGATACCACAGAGGATATTTCTGCCTTTCTGTTAAGTATCAGCTTTAGCAACCCAACAAGGACACCAGAATGTCCTAGCAACAACTGGAAAACAGCTGCTGTTAGCCCCACAACCCTGTTAACCTGGTCTTAGCATTAGGGCAGGACACAGCGCCCCTTGTCTAACATAAAAAATATGGAGATAAGAAAGAGGTTTATGCCTTCTTTTGGCACCAAACACCCAGTCCCATTTACTACTTCCTTTAGAACAGACTTCTCAATCTGTTTTCGCTTAATGTTTATCATGGGGCAATGAACTTCTAATCATCTTCAGTGATTAGCCAAAAGGGACCCTGTAATCTAATTTAGCCATCAGGTACCAGAACTGCAGAAAGGAGATCAAACACAGTACTCGTGCCTCCCTCCGTAAAAAAGCAGCTACATGAATGCAAAAACACAGGAAAGAAAAGAAAGATTGATCCAAACTTTACGGTGAACCAGTGATGTACATAACCTCCAAATTTATCTTTAATTGCAAAGTAAAAGGCCACTCAACACCTTTGTTCTGTTGAATCAGCCAAAGAATCTCCTTTCTTTTCAAGTCCACAAAGAAGACGAGTGCTTATGTGGATAGGAAAAGAGGAACACATAAATGATTTCTAAAAGGGCCAAGAGTCCAAATAAAGCCTCCACATCTCTGATCCAGTAAGGGAAGCACTGTAATTACCTTGCAATAGACATTAGGTACAATTACAGAGACAGTTCACTCACTGAAGAGCAGTTTAAATAAAACAGGTTTCTCAATGGGATGCTAGAGAATCAGAGGCACCACGATGATCTAGTCTTTTTTACAAATATGTGGTTCTTATGCCACAAAACATTATGATAAAGGACCTTGCTAATTAAAAGATGCAGCATTGTTTTTCCAAGGCTTGTAAAATATATGTTCACTAAACTCACTGCGTCTGTCAGAAGAGTATAAGCTACACAGGAAAACATGGTGCATTACTTTCTTTTAACTACCCTCTGTATGTCAACTTTTAATGTTAGTTTTTAAGACTCTGCTTAGAATTGTCTAAACATTTCCATTCTTCTATCATGGGCCATACATCCCAGTTCTAGATGTACACCCATCTTCACAACCTTCTCTTACTGATCCAGAGTTTTCTTGAAGGATGCTATCAAAACTGGACAGCCTTGTTATGGCTGAGCAGAAGTATTTTGCATGTCTTCCATATTAAGTTCCAGTTTTAGCACCACCATGCTTTTCAAATTATGCTTTTTGGTAGCATTAATTACACACTAATGTATTAACTAATTATATATATTAATCTATAAACACTGCTAATACATTTTGAAGATACTTTGAGTGTGCTCAAAAATCTTCACATGCACTGCGTGGTAAAAATCAACCACAACACAGCATACAATTTCCAGGAACTGGCCCTATACACTGGGATCTATAAAACTAGGTATTATATAAATTAAGTGACTGGGCTGAACAAAGAGATGGCTAGGCCATATTTGATGTCTGACTTGAACTGAAATATGTCCAAGAAAGATATAATGGATGTGTGTGCTACAGGCTCATATGAGGCTTTGCTTCTGTCACTCATTTTCTCTTGATCTTCCTTAATTCATGAGTGATAGGCATAAGGTATAACAAGTTTTCATTCAGAGAAGAGTTTATGATTTTTTCTGGAATTAGGGGTAAGACATCATGAGTGATTTTATTCTATTCACGCTATTTTATATTTTCCTTAGATGAAGCTGTAGGATGTAAGAAATAAAATCGCATAATGAATTAATGTGATACAGCACCCTAAGCTATATAGGTCAGAGATGGCGTGTCGTCTCAGCCCTGAAAACTGTCTGGATGTATTCCTAAGACTGATAGCCACCTGACGCACACATCTCTGAAAGCTGATGGGGCATGGTGCTCAGGGAGGAGTTCACAGACAGATAGTAGCAGTTTTCCCCAGTCCTCACACTCAGCTGGCAGTAGGGCTGGACTGAACATGCAGCTAGGCTGTCCTAGTAATGTCTGCCTTAATTGTCCCTGCCAACTTGTTTCCTCCCTTAGCTGAGGAGTCAGTATACTGAGCTGTCTCTGTGCCTCAGCAGCTTTGCTGCCAGTTGTGGCACACAGCACCGACATAAGAACCACAGCTGAACTGCTTGTGAGCCATACATGGCTACGAGACTCTTCACAGCAAGTGTAGATGCAAAAATATCCTTTACTACTAATACGCAGGCATGTGGTATTACAACTTACCATGTTTTCACTGTAGGCTGTAAAGACAATTCTTCAGGAAGGTAAAAACTGTGCCATTTTATTGACTGAAAGAGTTCTGGAGACATTGTTTTGGAAATATCATAATAATGGCCAAACTTTGGAGATGTTGTTGGGTTAGCCTGTGGAAACAACAATACTGATTACAATAACCTATTAAATTATTATCTGTCAAAAGAAAATAATTAAGTAGCAATACATTTGAAAGAAACCTCTGTTTTTTTCCCCACTCTTTTTTTTCTCCTGTTCAAGTAGGACATTATAATATTTACAACCAAGTTTTGGTACCCCTGTTGACAGTCAATAATGTGAATTTTTCACTGAGTATTCAAACTTTACTGTTCCAAGTTGCCTCACCAAGGTGGAGTCAGATACTTAAATATATATTTTTGCACATGTTCTAGACTATCTGATCACAAATTTCAAAAGGCCAGATAATATGAAGTATGCAGACCAGGATGTGTTCCACCTATCTGATTTTTCTGGGAATGATATGTTGCTACAGAAACATTTTCAATTGCCTTTGGAAATATTTCACTTTCTTTATTTATGACCACTGCATCTTCATATAACTGCTTTTAATAGAAAACTGCAAAAAAGAGGGAATAGTTAAAAACTTCTTTTAATTTCCTGATTTTTTAATAAATAGCAGGTTGAGTATCACACAGACATTACAGACAATAACCATGGTTTACTGTAATGAAGAAACTTTACGAGCTCTCAATTTTGGGTATCTAAAACATCATAACCCCCTAAATTTCATATGTACCATAGAAGGAATTACACATTTTAATATGTTTTGCTAATAAATAAACAGAGGAAAAGAATGCGTATTTTTGTTCCACATTAATGGAGTTCAGCATGCAAATTGCAACATTATTTGAATCACGCATGTAATGTTAACCCCCCTAGATTGTTATGATATGCAGCATTCAAGTACATAGAGGCTGCCTGCTATAGGAATTGAACAGGTTTTGCTCTTGATGTAGCAACCTATTTTCTTCATCTTTTCTGCCCTTCAAAACTATCCTGGAATGAACAGTCAAGCAGAGTAAAGCTCAGAGGCAAATGAGGTTTTTCAAGAGAAGGAAAACACTTGGCACAAATGTAAACCACTATATAGTATTTTTTTAATGAACACACTGTAAAGGAGTAACAGATTACCAAAACAATACTAAAATTGATCTTTAGGTTATGGCACAAACACCACTGTGCTCCGGATCAGATTCTCTCTTATTCTCTCCATTAACTCGTTTGAGGAGAAAGAAAGGTCATTTAGAATAACCAAATAAGTTTCATAATACAGGTATCAATCAAAACCACTGTATTTCTAACTGGTAGGATGCCAGGACTGAGAAAGGTGCTGGATTCTGGACTTTTAACAGCAGGTCAAAATAAAGATCACCTATTAGTTTATTTAGAGGACAACTACCCTAAGCCTGGACTGCAGGAACGTGCAAAAGTATTTTAAAGTCATTTTTCTATCTCCCAACTCCAAGACTTACTGTGAAGCTGAATTCCCTTTAAGAGCCAAGAGCCACCTCATTTATTAAATGATAAAGTATTAAAATAGATGAAACACATCTCAGCGGTTGTGTAAGAGAACAGGTGAGAGAGAGATCGAAACATGTTCACGCTGTAGAATAGAATGCTTTTTAAAGGTTGTTTTGAAGAGAAGTTTGGATTGGTAAGTAAAATGGAACACTATTTTGTTTGTACTTAAAAGCATGGACTTCCTTTCGAAAAGTGACCAGAAATACCCCCAATAATTTCAAAAGTTTTTCAATAGGTTCTATAACAACTTAGAACACTCTATAAAAGGATTTTTCTTTTAAGCAGACCAATATACACATTTTATCCACTATCTGAAAATTGAGCAGGGCTGTGTGTGTATGCAATGAAATTCTTTGGAACAACTTCTGCTCCAATTTCCACACTTGCTATATGTATATATTGCTAGGTACAGGAATGGCGATAGGTGTACTGAATTATTACAGTAATGGGATCCAAGTAATTTTTTGTGTATTGAGCAACAAATGATTTAGTTCCAACTCCAATTATTGTGGAAAGCTTGTGGTTTTCAAAAACCTTGGTCTTGCTAATAAAGTAAGTACTGTAACAGTAAAAAGAAAGAATACAGATATGCCAGATGTGGCCATGTATTTATACTTAGCTTTCTGAAATCAACCATGCTATGTATTTCCATAACTTTGTTTCAAGTTCGTCTTACAAAAACTGTTAAGATTAATTAGAATAATTTGATCTGAAGCATATATTTTGAAATTATTTGATTAATGGATACTAGGCCTGGTCAGTTATCAGAGAATATAAACAGTAACAATAAGACCGTATCTTTCCTACAAAACCAATAGAATAACCAAACAAAACCCAAACTTTTCACTAAAACAAATAACTAGTGTTTAATAAAAAAAACCAAACAAAACCAAAGACAAAATTGCTCATGTATACCTAGTCATAAGAGGCAGATTAGTTTACTCGAAAGATGATAGAAACCCACATTATGTGTTCCAATTTATTTATCAGTAACTGATTTTAAGAAGGAAGTCAAACAAAATGTAACAATCCACCAAAACCTAAATGTTTTTAATGTAAAATGTAACTTAATTTAAAATGAGGATTCTGAAAGCAATTTAAACAGGGGCTGTTCTGTGGCCTATAATCTATTCTTTATCCGGATTACAGATCAGAATGTTTTTACTGCAATCTCTGCCAGAGCTCATCTTTTTATTGTGTACTTCCAAGCCCCCTTAATGTTTTAGAAAGGCCTTGACTAACTGAACTTTGATCTGATGTCTTCATTGAGAAAAGCTCCAGGTTGCCCATTTCAGATGCAAATCCTTACTGAGGCCCAATAGAGTTTAGTAAAGACAGCAAAAAAGAAGAAACAAGAAGTTTCCAGGATCCTCTTTGAGAATCCTGAGGCACATTGGTGTCCTTAATCCACCCTGCTGCATGGATTAAGGTAGGTGATAACCTCTCTTCATTCAAAAGAATAAGCACAGTGCCTACAAACTGGGTGGAGACTAGGATTTGGCTATAATAAAACACCATGCAATAAAAGCTCGGTCTATGTCAGAAGCCTGTGAATAGGCCTCAATGTACTGCATTCCCAGGCTTAGCGGGGAAGCTTGCAAAAAGCCTACCTGAATCAAGTAAGCATGAATAATCTGCCTTAGCAGAATGACCATGGAGAGTGTGAAGCAGAGACTTTCCATTCCTCTTAAGTTTGATCTGATAAATTTATTAGTGGATTGGAGGCTCAAGTCTGTTCTTTCCAGGATTCCTACTTTGCACAAGGAGAAATACACTAAATTGTCAGTGAGCAGAGCATGCTTTTATGCTACCGTCTGCTGTTAATGTTTCTAATTGCAATACTAATGTGCTAGAAATCTCAGATTTAGGATGAATCAAGGCAGAAAATTGATTTCATGCTGTGACAGTTTATATATTGCCCCAAGAACATAAGCAGTTCATTCAAAAAAAACCAAAAAAACCAAACCCCCCAAAAAAACTACCACCAGAAAAACCCACACTGTCTTGCACTGCAAAATAGGCTGTCCACATACTTCTCTATCTTCTGTCTTTTTCTGATGTACGAGGTATATGCAACATGTAAAGAGCAACTGTGATAGTCATGAAGAGTATTAATATAAATACCGTGCAAAAATGAGGTATCATAAATGGGAAGGGAATATGTGAACTATTAATGAAAATCTCTTTTATCACTTAGAAATAAAAACTAAATTAAGCACCAAAAATACCACAAAGACAGCATTTACTCAGCATTCTTAACTTCATGTAAAGGCAGATAGTGGATGGAAAAGTTTTCTGCTAACACATTTAGAGTTCAAGTTAAAGCAAAGCTATTTTCTCTCTTTCATACTTGAAATTATTTGACAGCAGTTTTTCAAAATGTACTGGTTTATTATTTCAATCACTTTTGAGAATACGCCTTGAAATTTAATTCAATGTTTTGGTTTGGTTTGGTTTTGGTTTTTTTTTAGCAAAAGAAAATTTAAAGAATAATTCAAAACCAAAGTTTTAATTAAATGACAGAACTAAGTGTATCAAGCATCTAGGGCGCTGCAAAGCAACAGGAGATTTTTCCTCAAAGAAGAATATCCACCAATCAAATTAATCTAGTGCAGCACCAAAATTATAAAAAAATCATAAAAAATAGCAAAAAAAATTTGAAAAATATAAATTTCAAACCTATTTTTCACTAATCAGAATATCCTGCAGAGTTTTAGGTCTAGACTGCTTCAGACCTTCATTTCCAGTTTTAATTTTTAAAATAAATTTAACATATACATTAAAAATGTTGTATCTCAGCTATTCAGAATGATCAGCATCCAATTCAGAAAGCAACCATGATAACAAGGGAAATACCCCACAAAAGATTTTATTCTATTTTGCATAATCAAATTTCAATAACTGAGGACAAGTACATTATGTATTATAGAGAAATATTGTATTAGTGGAAGAACTGATTACTTCTGTGAAGTTATAGAAGATGACTGCATACCTACCTGGATCACTTCTATGTTTTTCTATTTTGTTAGCACACCAGAATACCATTTGTTACCAACAGGCAATTGTTTCCATATCAATGTACCAGGAATTCTGCTAGATTTTCAAACAGACAAATTATTTTGGGGATGGTTCAGAGTGGCAAAGCCAGCTCCACAATAAAAAAATTGATGAGATTATATGATTACCCTGCAGGCTGTTTGATTTGGCATGTCACCATATATAAGTCTTTTCTGACACAACTATATAACCATGTCTGTGCAATTTTACAGAAAACCGAACATGCCAAGCCTTGTAAGATCATTTTGTCACATTCCAATTATGTTTTTATGACTACGACTGAACTTACTAGGCAGGTATGACTACATTCAAACCAGAATTTATAAATGTAGGCTAAAATGTATGGGCAAAATAAGCTTTTTGTTTTAGATCACCAGAAATGCTATAATTTTGTTACAGGTTGGTTGTGCCATTGGATCGAATAAGAAAGTCACCAGCCTCTGGAGATATATTATTCACAAAACACAACTGTAAACTCTGAAAGACTGGCCACTGCGCTTGTTTCTTATATTCTCCCTGCACAGTGATTAGTTTCGAGTGACAGTGAAGCTGATATAATCTCAAGTGCTTACTTCTGTTGTTATGCACATGGATAAGCAGGTCAACAGCTTGCTTTCACACAGTGCTTTCTCTACAGAGATCTAGTAAGTACTGTTGATTAAACCTACTTAAGCAATTTGTGTACAACAAAATTTGGGGAAAGTTTGTAAGTGACCAAATTATTAAAACTTTCATAACAAACTGTCTCAATTTAATAATACTAATGGGAAAATCACATGGAATGTTAATGTCTTTTTTACTGCCAGGTTATTACTGTCTGAATAAAGTTTTACATTTCCTGCACTCTCAAATTCCCTTACTTTCTGTATCTCTAGTAATCAAAAAATACTTTGGTATTTGTGGTGTATGACAATTTGCCCTCAGGAGGCAATCCTGTAAAACAGTCTGTTGGCAGTTCTGTTGTCTAGATTCTATGAAAAAACATTTGCTCTGCAAATCCATTTTGACTGCAAGAGGAAAAAAACATGAAATACCAATTACCTCCATTTTTGGTAAATTTTGGTAGCGCCAGGCTATTTTCATAGAGTCCTGAAAATCTTCAGACTTAACAGTTGTTGGTTCTTCTCCCAATTCATTCCTTTGCTCATCAAGCAAAGGGGCTGGAAGTTCCTACAGATGGAGAGCAAAAGAATGTCAGCTGTCAGTAGAAATGGCAGTTCAGATTTTTATTTCCCTCCCCCAAAAGTTAGACAATATAGTTAATATAATGGATAGTTGTAAAATTTTTAACAAAACTTGATTAAAATAGCTGTTTTGAAATACTGTCTTACTACTAAAACTGAGTGTGAAGAAATGTAATTATTACGGGGAAAATGAACTATACAACTATAACAGAATGCAGAATGGAAATATCACACTGAATACACAACACATCTTGAGCAACATCCACATTCCCTTTTAAATCTTGCTTTAAAGGTTGAGCTCCTAAACAATTCTATTCCTGAGAAAAGACAAGTTTCTTGCATAGAGAATTTAAGCTTATTTTATAATAAGATCACTTTTCTTTGTTAGCTTCTGTAAATCTTTCAACAGCATTCAACAGACCCAACAGCCTAGCAACACAGGCTGAAAACAACTGTAACAGGATGGTTTGAATTTTCTCTCCTCCTAACCATTATGCATGATAACTACAAATGATGGCTACCTCATGAACACAAATAAGGGAATAAAAGGAAGGGACAAATATTCAGAATTAGAATGCTTATAAGGATCTAATGCAAACATTTCTGGCTTTAAAAATAAATAAACAACAAGAAAAAAGCATTGCACACAGGAGGATGTAATTGTTTTATAAGGACAGAACTGCAGCTTTGACTTAGACCTAAATTAGGAACGATGTTGTATTACACACTTTTGCTTTCTATCTTTCTTGCATTGCTGAAAAAGTGAACAGCACTGGATGGATACCAAGCACAGCATTCAGAATTTATGCTCATAGACTAGACGAATGAAGTGCTACCAAGTTTTCTGACCCAACTTTATCATCCATCTCTATAAGCTGGAGGGCAAAAATACTCTTTATCTGCTTAAAATAGATCCAAGACTTATTGGAAAACTGTTTTCATTAAACAGACTCTTCGGAGAGAACTGAGATGTGGTCTCAAGGGTTAAAAATATATAGAGCTATCTAATATCTCTGTTACAAGGTATTAGGTGTTGAAGATGTAAGAAAAATAAATAAATCTGAAAACTTTAGAAGCAGCAGCTCAATGGAAGTATGGGATACAAATCAAATGTAACATAGACAGAGCTGATCCTGACCATAAACATTTAAATGACATTCACAGCTTTATGTAGGTGGACATGGTATAAACAGACACACATAAAAATAAGACAACAAAAGTTTTAATCAATTTTGGATTTAATATTATGCTAATCCAGTACTAAAGAATAGGGGAGGGAGAACCTGTGTATAGTTCAGTATGTAAACTTAGGAGCAACATGATTTATTTTTGTTTCTTTAGTATAAATTAACATAATATCTACAATTAGTGACAACACTGAGAACAAATGTTTCTAACTTCAGGACAATTGTTTGTCTCTCTCAGTGGCTGGTCAGTACACCCTCCCAGAGAAAGGGTAATGGAAGCTATGAAAACTTTTATGTTGTTGCTTCCACAGAGTTGCAGAAATAGCACAGCTGTACTCCTGTGTTTCAGCAGCTGAGCAGAAGATGCAAGCCATACTTTTGAGCACATAATTTTATTTTATTTACTTTCATTTGGCAAATGAACTCCAAAAGCCTGGTAAAGGCTGTTTAGGAGGATGGTGATGCATAGAGTTAAATGTTCAGATTTCTTACAGATTGTTTAAAAGATACACTTGAATACCATAAACCTCTACTACTATGGTTGTAAAAATTAAGCTTTGTGGGTAGGTAAGCTACACAAATATGGTAATTTTAAGTTAGTATTTACCACTTTCATTAAATTTACAGATTTATAGCAGATGTTCCAGTAAAAAAAAAAAAAAATTATTTTTGTCCAAGTTTCCTTATACCTACCCAGAACGAAAGCAGGGAAACTTTCAAAGATATCTGACAGGTAGGAGAAAATGAAAATAGAACACTGTACTGAAAGCTTCTGAGAAAGTATAAATACAAACATGAGCTGACAAGCACGCCAATGCATTTCACATCTATGTGGATACACATTATTTGCATTCACTTCTAAGAGCATTATAGAAAGGATTTTTCTAAAAAAAAAAAAAAAAAATTGTTTTGAATTTCTAATGTTATAACTCAGATATCCACAATAACGAGTTAATGAATCTTATTTCAAATTAAGGTGCTATGTTGAAAACAAACTACTGGACAGTTAAACTATTATGCAAATTTAATTTCCTAATAGAGTTATTCATAGATTTAAACTGGCTATTGTAAAAATGTCTTTCTTTTACAGTGAAGAGCTGCTGATACACGATCATGTCAAAATAGTGCTCAATTACAGTAATTAAAAAAGGAAAAAATCAACCTTCATTTAAAAAGTGAGTTCTGTAAAGGAATAATCCTGCAGGCAAAACCAACATTTCCACCTATCTCTTCCTTTCATTCAGCAAGATCAACTGGCTCCCAGGTACTACCTGTAACTTTCTGTCCTGGTGGGTAACCTCTGTTTTTCTGAAAACAAGTGCCAGCCACAGTTTGGAAGAAATCCTGAAATCCTGCTTAAGCATTTCATCAAACTCCCAGAGCTTGCGCCTGTTTCAGATCCTACCACTGATACAACAAGTTGCTACCTCATCTTGCAATAGTATGACTGAGCAGGCACCACATCAAACACAAAGCTGAAATCCAGGAAATGGCATAATTCACCTTTACTGTAAGTAAAAAGAAAAACAGCACAAATATTTTTTTTCAAGCTATTTAATGTTTTTCTCCTCTAGAATCACTGCAAAGGCCTGTCACTTGTTCATTGTTCTTCTACAACAGTAGGCAAAGACAAATTTGAGACAGACATTTGGCTATATACATTTATTTTTATATACATCACATATAACGTGACAGAGGTCAAGACAGTAATGGGTGAGAGATTCCCCAAGCATTACTGATAAAATACAAGCTACTTCAATACCCTCACATAACACTGAAAAAAAGTTCTTGCCTTGCAGTCAAGCACAGAACAAAACCTTCTTACATAGCACTACATGGAGGGGAGACATTTACACTAAACTGTATGAAAGAGAGGCAGAACATGTGGTTTCTATTTGAAGGTATGTCTCCGTTGACTAGAAGTCAATGTGCATGCCTTCGTTAGCCTCATTAAAGACTAAACAGGATACACAGATGATTGCTAATGTTATTTTGCATTAGGATGTCCCGATCCATGTATGCCAGTCCATAATTTTCAAAACTAGATCTTTGTATAAGCACATTTGGAAAGGGAGAGAGCTTAGAACTGGTTAGTAGGCTTGGGACTGGGCAGAATTACAGACAAAGAACACAGATATATAAACCTGCTTTATGGGCAACACTGAAATTGAAATGATCCGAACATCTTAATCTTCATATCCTCTTTTTATCTTCATGATAAATAAAACTGGAATAAAAGGCTATTCCCCTCTTCTGACACTGATATTTAAATGTTGTTCTTCGTTTCAAGGAAATAGCTCTTTCCAAACCTGACCATGCCTGAGTGATACAAGCACCCAAGAGAGAAAAAAATCTCCCATTGTCATAACATAGGTGTATTCTCAAAGATAAAGGCTGGCTGTTACATACATACTTCACAGCTCTTCCGTGTCATGAAAGGTTTCATTACTGTCCAAGAATTACAAAGCATTCATCCATTCTCAGATTGTTCTTAAAACTAGAAGGAAAAATAAATTATGGAAAGGGTGAAGCAGACCAGCAGCCAAACTAGCCACAAAACACTGGCTTTTCTGGCACAGCTAGGTAAAAATTGAACTGAAAACTATACAGCAGAACATGTAAGGAGAGCAGTGGGAGACATTTATAAGCAACATTTTAAGATGGCTAAACCTGGGCTTCTCCTCAAAGTATCTGTGTGGATGGACTCAGAAGCAGTGACTTAGCATAACTCTCTTTCTCCCAGGTTCATTACAAATTGAGAAACACACTAGTTTCCGGCAATCTTACTAAATAATTATTTATGTTTGAGAACTGTACTTCTCTATCACATAGAAATAGCACTTAAATTCTGCTGAAAATATTAGAATTTAAAAAAGGATTTGGGATTGTGAGCCTATTTAGGTTTAAATAGTTTTATATTCTTAGAATAAATATCAGAATTTCAGAATACAAGATTATGAAAATGTTGAAAAGTTACTTCCAAAATTACATCCAGAATTTGGAAATAAAAGTGTTCTTTAAACAAAAGACTAAGAAAAGGAGAGTTGATTTATCAGCCTGTAGTAACTCTGTTTAACCTATTTCTGCTTACAAATATCTCAGCTCCCACATCATATAGCTCTGAAAAGCTTTCGGACTGACAATTTTGTGGCATCAGTGTGTCAACTCCTGAGAACTGTTACATTCTCCCAGGCTAAAAAAAGACAAATCTCTCATAAGGTATATTAAAATCCAAAGCACATAGCAGTGCATTAGTTAAAATAAAAAAAAACCCCACAGCATTTCTTGGGGTCAACTAAAATACCAGTCTTTGCTCTGCAGCATGAACACACAAAAAGGCAGACAAGTGCTAAAGTTATTAAGTGCGGTTTGGTTGGGGCATTTGTCTTTGTCTAGGTGAGATGTAGTAGGAGGGAAAAAAAAGAGAGAAGGAAGCTTGTTGCTATGTTTTAAAATCTAAAAAAAAAAAAAAAGTTTGGGAAAGAAAATTATTTTCCAAAGCGCTAATACTAAAGGACAATGCAATTAAATGTTTTCTACAAACTGAGCTTATGAAGGTTTTATTGCAAACAAGAAATAATTAACTTCATTAATAAATCTTTTATCTTTGGAATAACACGGAGTACAACCCGTATCTGCCAGCAAGCCAGGTCTTTCTGTGTTTGCTGCCACATTACTTTGCCTGCCTTGTTTTGGCAGATGCACGAAGCAAAATCAGATTCTAACAGTTTGACCTCTCTCACTTCTTATGTTCTCTAGGGGATAATAAAATCCAAGATACAATCCCACAGCAGTTAAT